ACCATGTCCACAGCCAGCTCACAGCACCAGCACCAGCACCGGCACCCAGCACCAGCAACCTGTCTCGAAAGCGCGCACGGGCAACTCATTGTTTTTTGAAGTAAGAACCCCATAGCTTCGCTATCTGGGGAAAAACGATCTCATATATGCTTACAACATAGCCGTGAACGATCAAGCAATGTCACCGCGGAGTCAATCAGGAGCAAGATCGCATACACGGCCTCTTCGGCCGTCCGCCGATGCCATAAGTCAATGACATCATTGCGCACTTTCACCGCCTCGAGGCATCCAAAAAGTTGGACCTAAAAGACTAAACACATGGTTGTCTCTATCAGAAAAGACAAATCTGACATGATATATGGTCAATCCTGCGTTCCAATCAACTCATTGAACTCTGATCTAAGAAGTCAAAGGCCTTTGTGCCTGTTCATTGGAATGCTATTCCTCTAAGACTAAAACGGGCATCTCTGATCGGTGCTGCCATCCCTTCCCCAAAGGCAGTGCCTCTTGGTAACCTCCAAGTGTAGCTTGTAGGCCAAAAGGCCCTGGATTTGAGAGCTCCTCCTCTCCGGCACCTGGGAACTCACAAACCTGACACCAAAGTGGGAAACCGCGAGGAACACAAGGAACACGGCTCTTGCCTGAAACTTTTGTCTCAGATGACCAAAAGGAGCACGTATTTCTGTCCTTCGAACCTTGGAACTTCGAGGATCATGCTGGAAAAGTCCCAGCCAGAGCCTTTGTCATTTCGCTCCCAAGCAACGCAGAAATCATGCAGCTGCAACTACAGTCCAAGACACTGGTGATAAACATTCTGGACGAGGCTCTGGAAAGCATCTCATGTATTTTGTCTTGACACTCCTTCACTGATCATCTCTGAAAGAAACCCAAAGAACCCCAGTCCCAATCTTCATCACCACACTAAGAGGCAAGAAGATCCTCCGGCGGCTCACGCTCCAGGTCCACACCAAGAATGAACTCCAAATGAAGAGATTTGTTAGCCTGACATGAAGACATAGAAACATACAGAAACCACTCATGGCCAGGCTGCCTTGCCACTTGCCAGGCTCGTGAAGCCGTGGAGCAAACTCACAGGGTCCATGAGTCCATGCCATTCTCCGCTGTATGAACAAGTCAACTAAGATTTAAGGAACATGTTTGGCAAAATGCATAAGAGGTTGAAGGTTCATACAGCAAGAGGTACTGTATATCTGTTGGAGAAGGCATTCTGTAAGGTGTTCAATGATGATGTTCAATGAGTGTTCAATGCGAATGACATGATTGGAAATCGGAGTGATTGAGTCATTTGCGTTTGCAAAGCCATTCAGCACCAACACCCGGCACCAACAAACAAGCTGAGTCCCTCCAGCTCGCCTGGCATAGCTCAGCGATAGACATAGATCCTGGACACAGGAGCTGCTGTAAAGAAGTCGCCACAAAACACTGGAGAGTCTTTATTTATGCTGATTTACATCAAACATAACATTCAAGTTTGTACACACTGTGCGCTGATTTTCATATGAAGGGAGATTTCATGGAGGGCTCTATATCGTCTTTAAATCCTCCAGTTCCTTGCGCGAAGAAGTTGGAAGCCAATTTGGAGGTTGCGCGCTCTTTCCAATCCGAGTTGCTGAACTCAACAGCTTCATTTCCCAAGTCCCAGCGCACGCGCTGCACCAGCTGCTGCGCTGCTTGGGCCCAACTGGGTTTTCCACCCGTCAAGGCCGAGCCCATGTGAGGCACCTCTCCAAAGCCTAGCGCACGCGATCGCGGCCATGGGCATCATGTGTCATGCCCAATTCCGTGCCTGGTGAGCCTTCACCAGGATGCAGCAGCAGCACCTACAAGGGGTAAGATTATGCCGCATCAGTGGGTGTGAAGTGGCATCACTGCATGGCCACGCGTGGAAGGGTGAAGTCACATCAGCACGTGTGAAGTCACATCATGCTGTCGCAATCACTGTGGCCACGCGGCGAAAACCTATGTTTGGAGTTTGACTTGTCTGGAACCCACGCCTGCAAATCTACACGGTTTTAAGCTTGGAAGACACAACATGGACCACTTATCAGAATTGTTTCCCAATGGGTACGAGATTTTGAAGATTATGTTAGTTGTTTGGTGTCAGGGTGCTGGTGTTAGGATGTTAAACCCCGATGGCGACACGCATCTAACCCAACCACTGCAAACAGCAACCTGCCTAACCCTTCCTGCAGATTGCACATGTGGAGAATTCTGCTTCCTCCCCAATGCCGCAATCGCCTGCTCATGCCTCTGTGACCCCTGGTGCAGTGAAAGTGGATCAGGAGGAGTGCTTGCTGCAGGCCAAGGGTGTGAGTGGGAGTCACGCAAGTCTCCGAGCTCTGGCCACATGTGCAAAATACTTTTCTGCCCTCGGAGTTGTTCTGATCGCGGGGATGAACAGTTACACTAAAACTTACGATAGATTTAGCTGCACTGGAGCGAGTGCCGCGCGAGTACCTTGCGAGGACATCGCGAGGACCTCGGAGACTTGCGCAACCGCCTGGCGACTCCCAGTCACACCCTCCCTTTAGCTGTTTGGATTGGGTTCCTGGAGATATCACAATTCAATTCCTCTTCAAACCTGAGTTACTCCACATTTTGCAGTGATGTTCGCAGGCGAAACCTTGTTAAAATCAAACTTCTGTCCGCAAGTCTGCGTGTATGATGTGTATGTGTGCGCACTTGATTTTCCAGCGGCACTTCTTCGCCAGACCCCATTGCGAACCCTTTCAGCGGGGTTGGGCTCGCTACCGGACAAATTTTCACTGCTGCATGGGTTTCCCAACACTCCGTGTTGTGCCGGAAAAGCACGAAAACATGTTTGTGGAATTTAATGTGTTATATAATGTTACAATGTTATATATAATACTGTATATATACCTGAGAAGGGAGGGGACGAAAGCTAGCCTCCATATGAAGACATCAATATGGCAATGGGGGGTGAAATCGAGAGGGCGCTGGAACTGAGAGACTTGGCGTGCAAGATCAAGTGATTGGCTAACATCGGGCAAAGGGTGCCTTTGCTATGGGGTGAAGTCGACATTGCAGCCACCCCGACAGGGGGTAGAAATAGAAAGCAAAATACCTAGGTTTGGGGGGGGTGCCCTTTTTGCTCCTGGCTCAAGGTCGTTTTCAAGCTGAAAAAGGGCACCCCTAAGGAACTGAGGGGCGCTTGCTAGCTGCGTGTTGCCAAAGCAGTGAGCAAAGATGGCTGTGGGGGGCCCATGGGCGAGGCTACCGGCTGGCTTTCGCTAAGGATACACACACATATATATATATATGTACATGGGGTGCCCTTTTGTGTATGGTTGACAGGCACCTTTGCCACTCAAAAAGGGCACCCAAGCAACGCCCAGATTTCTTGCAAGCCCTCTTTTCCTACCCATCCTCCTCCGCTATGCCTGTCTTCCACCTTCCCCGCAGCATTCTGTTCTCTCTCCGGCCCTCACAGATCACACAGTGTCTTTAGATACACACACCTCCCTCGCACGCCTAGTTGAACACGATTTCAATGGCCACCAGACGCACATCTCCCTTCCCTCAAAAAATCCAACCACTTTTCGCGTCCCGTTGTCCCCTCTTTCCTATCTTCGACATGAACTCCCACCCCTGGTAGAAAGCGGCTTACATTGCCTCCTGAGCCCCTCATGATGCTGATGATGCACTGCTTCGCCGTCAATTACATCACCGGCATCACAACACCCCCAAAACTACTCATTTTCACTACCTCCTGGCCACCTCTCTTCTTCGCTCTCCCCCACCAGGCTCTGCGAAATTGGCCCGTGTGCGACCACCCCCCCCACTCCCCCTTTACTCACTTCGTTCGCCCAACCCAACTTCAGCATAGCGTACCGGCTGGCTTTCGTGATATATGTAACTTTATGTTTCCGGAAACACACGCTGGTATTGCTCAAAATATGCAAAATTTACAGGGGAATGCTTCTCAAAAAGACAGCTAGGTCTTGGAAATACAGCGCCATGTGTTTGAAAACACGCGCTTGTATTGCCCAAAACACTTTGTCGTTAAAAATACTGAACATCATGCTCTTTAAACGGCAACCATGCATGTTTGGAAATCATATTGCTGAAAACACCTGTTTGTGTTGCGCAAAATATATACACAGATGCATGTCTGAACATTTTTAATGGCATCCTTTTCACAATACAGTTGTGCCTTGGCATATCAACATCATGTTTTTGAACACACACCTGTATATGCCATTGCTGTTGAAGCCATCCAATAAAACAAGTGCTTTTTGGGGATCTTTGGGTACAAGCTAGTGTAATATTGAAGCTTCCGCCTACCAGCGCCAACATTCCAGGATGCAGTGTCAAGCTGGGAGCAAATCCGAGACATGCACCACTGCGGCATCTGCAGGGATGGGTGCAGCTACTTCTTCCTGCATGTGATGCTAGCTGCTAGCATGCATGTGAAGTCATGAATCTTTGGACAGCGAGTTCATGCTGCACAATTGCTGTTGCATGCGGCACGGACAAGGAGTCCTGCTGATTTGGCAAAGCCAGGAGCTTGGTGCCGATCTGCCTGCGGCTTCACTGCAGTCATGAACTTGAGCAAACACGGCGGATGTAAAGAGGAATGTTGCCTTGAAAGTGTTGACTGCTGCAGTCGCTGACTGGACGTCTGCTGCAACCGATCAAGTTTGCTGGTGCTGCCACTGCTGTCCCCACAGAAGCTTGTCGAAGACAAAAGCGTTGCAAAGACCTTCCACTCCAAAACTGTAGAGAAAACTGCAAATCGTGGTTTTGGGGCGCAGGACACTCTGGTAAAAGCACTTGTTTAGATGTCTAAACAGTCGACGCAGCTGAGGCCCAGGCTGGCACTGTGAGGCCAAAGCAAAGCAAACTTCTCTGCTTAACCCGCTTCCCAAGCCGAGGTGGCACCTTGAGCTGACATGCTTGTGACTTGAAATGACATGAATCTGAATGATTCAAACTGATTTGAGTGCTATTGATACTTAGCCTTTAGACCTCCTTACACTCAAAGTTGAACACCCAAGGCTATACACCACCCACTCCCCACAAGAGAATCATGACCCTGCCTCAACGTCCAGTGATTTGGTACTGGTCAGCATGGCTTGAATGAGGTTTGTCTGTTTACTGTCAAAGCTTGAGATCATAGGTTGGCGCTGCTATGGCATTAGGCCGAACGAAGTGATGGCTTGATGGCTAAGGTTGAACACACAGCCTGGTCCTGTAACCTTGTGATTGTGATTTGCGGCTGAGATGTGACAAGTTTGATATACATATAATATGCATATATATATATATGTATTCATACCCAATTGCAATAGCGATGGCCTCCAACCTAATTATACATTTATATACAATTATATACATATACTACATGTATGATCATATATAGTATAAGCTAATTACCGTGTCCGTCAGAGTGCTTGCTTCCATCGAAAGTGCTTCCTTTCTTGTCTTTGGCTCAGGGAGAGAGAAGTGCATGCCAGAACTGCAACTGTCATTTGACCGCTCATCTCGCCCATGTCCTACGTCGCATTTTTCGCCGACGCAAGCACAGAGTCGCGATGTGGATGGATGTTTAGCAGCACAATCGGGCTGACTTGCCTCATCCGAGATCAAGCACTGCAGAGCCGTATCTCTGTCCTTGTCCTGCACGTAGCAGGGCAGCTCCCGCCCAACCTCCAGAGAGCGTGATGGTGAAATGAGGTGCAAATCAATCATTGGCACAGGTTCGAACACGCACTGCTGTTGCGACAAACACTTCCACTGCCCGGCAAGAGAACCTATGCGTTCGCCTGAAGCTTAGACCACTCTCTTCAGTGCATCATTGGGTCCAGAGTCCAAACCAACACAATCCAAGCCGCTTGATGTCCACAGCCATTCTCGCATTTGAAGAACTGCTTGAGGACTTCGCAGCGGTTCCCGAATTCCAGCTGCTGCCGAACACACTTCATGCCAGCCTCCACAAGAGCAACACACAAGCAAATCAGCATTGAAGGGATTTCTGGTGTTCACTTGGCATGTGGATTCGAACATATGTATGTAGTGGCACTATGTTTCTGAAAAAAGGGTCGACGCCCCACCTCCTCGCATATGTAGTTGCAGGACTCATTTGGCTTCCCGCTCCTTGGCCCAAGCCCAAGCACACAATAAAGACTTGTAAAAATACAAGGCCAGCGGCGCATGTTGTACATCATCTGTACAAACCGGTTCATGCACATGCACTGTACACAATCTAAAGACTGATCATGACGGCGACCCTGTTTTCCAACAGGTGGCTTGATTTCCTGCGCAGGATCTGGAAGCCACAATTCGCTCTCAGGCAGAAGTCCTCGACCCTGAAGCATTTGCTGCCCTTGTTTGACCAAGACCGTCTAACTTCGAACTGGTGGACTGAGATCTTGATTGATCAAACCCCTTCAAGAGATTTCAACAGAAAACATGATGCAGATATCTCCTGGGATTGGCTTAGGCTTAGTTGTCCATTAGTAGAAACCTCTTTCGCAAGTGTTCAAGCCTGACGACGATCCACCAGGGCGATCTTCACTCGCGACTGTGGATGTTGGGTGAGGATGACACCTCCAGCTCACGTTGCCAAGCAAGGAGACTTTAATCGAACTATATAATCTACAGGTGTACTATGTACTATGACACAGTAAATGCATGTATTTGTGATATCAAATTGTCACCTCGTCGAGCTCCTCTGGGCTGCCCTGGGTAGAGCTGAAGCTTCTTGGCGACGGTAGCGAAGTCCTGTCAAACAAATCAAGAAAGGAAAACCACTGGAAAAACTTTACATACTCACTTTGTGCCTCCCTCGCATAAGGGATCTTGTAATGGTGCGTTGATTGAGCCGTAGATCCTTGTTGTTGGACAATCGAAAGTAAGATACAAATACATGCTACTGTAATCATTTTCCATACATGTTCCTGCCATACATTGTTTCAGTGTTGGGACAGAATCTAACAAGCAAAATCCCTCTTGCATGGAAGGAGCTCAGCCTCAGGACATCCACATTGCTCACCAAGGCTGCTTCTTGAATCAGCTTTTGCATGTGAGCCTCATAGCTGTCCCTGGCAACTATCACAAGGTCAAAGCCAACCTGCAAAAATATCCAGGCCTTAACAAATATGAGACCTCCTTCAACTGACCATGTGGCAGCTTGCTGAAGGCCATCTTCTCCAGAAGCTTAAAAATGCCATTTCCAGCCTGCATACATTCCAAGAATTTCCAAAGCATCTTTGGAAAAGGTCTTTAATAACCCTCTCTTGGGCGGTGCTCCTCAACATCATCATCAAGCACACTCCTAAGACTCCTAGGATCCCAAGCATTGTCAGCATTGTCTTACATGTAAAAAGTTGGATTTATTTTCAGGCCCTTTGGATATCTTTCTTCTCTCTTTCTTGTCTTCGCCTTGACGTTGGTCCCTTTGGTATCCACGTGTTTGCTCCGTGGTACTTCAGGCGCTACACAGTCGCGAGAGCGGAGCTCCGGAACCCCATGGCGGAGCCAGTGGTCCCAGCCAGTGCTGGGGAAGCTTGGCCACAAGGGCCGCAGCAGTACCCAGGTGTCGTTACCTCAAAGTATTGCCAGCCAAGTATGATTTGGCTTTGTCTTTTTAGTCCGGGGGGGTAGACCGTAGCTAGTAGCTTATCAGTAGCTACGCAACTACTAAACTTAGGCTTGGACGCAGAAGGCCTCTGCCGTAATTGATGATTGGATTCCTAGAAGTTTTGGGAAAACTTAACAATTACACCCAGGGTCTTCGTCTAAAGAGAACTGCCTTGCATTTCCTTTCCACATCCGCAGGCAACATTGACAGATCCATTGAGTTGCGATGAAACTGTGATGCTGCGAGGCTGCGAATCATCCATCCCAAGCCAGGAAAGTAGTCTGTGCGAAAGAGTCGGAGCTCGTCAGACACAATCTCTTGGAAGCCATTGTCATTCCAAGAGGAGACACACCAAAGAGATGGATCACGGTCCAATAATGGAGCAGCAAGTCGAAAATACCAAAGAAAGTCAGGTGCTAAGATCAGGTCATTCTCAATGAAAATTGCAAACTCATACTTTGCCACCTCGAAACCTGCCACTTTTTTGAATTAACAACTTCACCAAAGCACAATAAACAGGGAACTGAGCCAAGGGACTGGGAAAACAGGTGTTCTGCAATGCATACAAAATGATAAAGGAAGTCACTTGTTACTAGTAGCTTCTTGTTACTACTAGTAAGGCACTTGTTACTAGCAGCTTCTTGAGAATACCAAGAAGCTTTGCAAAAGGGCAAAGTGAAAATGTGCAGCGATCTTCGCCACGGGCACCTTCGGTGAGACGTCCAACCCAAAACAAACGGGGAAAGGAAAGCCAAAGGCCAGAAAAACGACATCGCCATGGAAAGGATTATCTTGCCTTCTGCTTTGGATCGTCTGGCTTTTTCCAAACATTGATCTGATGCCCGGTTGACGAAGCGCGCACAGTGGCCTAGCAAAAGTGGAGGCCTCTTCTCTGTCTGTGTTCTGCGCATCGTTTTCTCAACTTCTCTCGAGAATGCATGTCTATGCCTTTTCTGAATGTTGTGAGGAATTGGATGTGCAATATACATCGATATAGCCTATAGTAGATCTACAAGGAACGGGAGGAATTGGGAGACTGTTTCTCAAATCTAATTACAATCTCAGCACATTGAGTGCACTGGGTCACTTGCCTCCATCTTCGCGAAGGAAGGCTCATGGTCCAATGAAACGGTCAAAGCGAAAAGGCCCAAATCTGGCTGCTTCGAAAGCGAGTCTAGGCACCTGGCAACAGCTTGCCAAATCTGGTACATAATGCTTGGGATTTGCGCGACACTGAGAAAAAAACTTGCCTGGCAAGTGTGTCGGGCTTGTCGTGTGCCAGAATGACAATGCCAGATCCTCCCCTAGCCAACGGCTCCAATATTTCTGGATGCCAAGCTGGCTCTGGAGCTTGAGCTAGAGTCTTTGAACTTGCAATACCAAGCACAGAGTTCGCAACCTTGGCTCACTCTTGAATCAAAACCTGGGGCAGTTGCCCTTGCTTAAAACCTGGTGCAAAGCTTGTGAGTCAAGCAGCACTTTGGGACACACTTTTGGAGGTTGACCTTGCAAGTCAAACTGATGATTATGCGTCAAGAGTCAAGGTAACATAAAGCTTAAATGGTCATGCCTTGCAGGAGTTGGGCTGTGAACAGCACCCCGTACTGCCCTGGCAGGGTGTTTCAATCTTGCCGTTTCAATCTGGCTTTGCCATCTGCTTTGCCATTAACTGCCTGCTAGCACGCTCCACTGCATGGAGGGTTGCTGAATGCGCACGGCGCAAGCGCTGCACAGTTGTGCGCTCATTCTCGGTGTCACCTGAATTACAGTATACACGATTGTGTAACATGACATGTTCCGACAAGCACCCAGTCCCGGGCTAAGGGCAAGGTAGAGCCCGATCAAAGCTGTCATGAAGGCTAAAAGCACCTCAGCGAGAAACAATCTGCTTGGTGAGGTCTTAGGCTTCTTAGAACCGGATTGGTGAGGTCTTGGCAGCACCCAGCACGATGAGAAGAGCCTGGAAGGAGCCTCACATCATCCGATGCATCAAAAAGACCAGTGACCAGTGACTTGAGAGGCCGGCTACCGTTCCAAAAAGACCGGCGACGGGAGTTCAGCGCCATGATGCGATGGGAGTGAGTATCGGTTAAGCATCATGAAATGTTCACTTCTCTTATATAACATGTCTTATATAACTTGTTCTTCTGGGTTGGCTGCAACGCTCGAATCATATGAGTAGTAAAGTGGCTGCAGAGCGCCTACTTGTTCAACTTCTTTGCCAAAGTGAGCACGGCTCGAAAGAGAAATCTCTTGTCTCCAGCAAAGCATCTTTTGTGCCGAGTGGCTCCCCAAGCGAGGCTGATGAACGTCCCCGGTCGGTTGCTCTCCAACTCTAGATGGCCAAACTAAGTTGACCATGGATTCCCAGTCTGTAGACCGGGCGTGGATAGCAACAAGTTCAGAACAAAGTCCACTGCACAAAACGTGATAGCAATATATAGCTATCAAAGTACCCCAGCTGACTTCCGAGGTCTTCTGAACTCCCCTGGAGATTTGAACAAATGTGGGATGATTTCGTAGATTATTTTTCAGAGTCAATTGAAGAAGTCAGCACCTCGCCCTTCAAAGAAACTGCATGTGCTATCACATGCTCATATTCGCTTCCTCAGCAAGGTCCAATAATGTACATCAATAAATACTGGATGATATGGAACTTTTCTCTCTGGCACCTAATCGCCAAACTACGAGTACCAGCGAAGAAAAGAGGCCTTGAGTCTTCCGCTTACTTTGCCAACATGTCCTCGATCTCTTTCAGCCTAGGTATATAGATCGATATGGCCCTGTGATAGGTTGCAGAGGCCATCGCTCTTAGGTTGGAGGCCATCGCTCTTAGGTTGGAGGCCATCGCTAGTAGGGTGGAGGCCAAGCAAAATCAAACTGTGCTCCACGCATCATCCGCGAATGTTCGCGAACTGGGGCCGGAGAGGCTGCAATACAAGAGACCCCGGTCCTCGACCTCGAGGCACCAAGGTCTGAAAGGATCTCCGCATGCTGAGAGTATTTCAGGCGCTCTGGTCGACTGTATGCTGTTCAATACACAACCCACCTTTATTCCTGCAACCTTAATTGCTTTGTTCATTAAACGCGGTGATTTAGGGTCAATCCCTTTTGGACACACAACAATAACCTGCACCCTTGAGGTTGCAGCTCGCCGTTGTAGCTCTCTGGCTTTGCGCGCACGATGATCTACAAGCGGATGAGTTATAACTTGCAAACATCCTATCAAAACTCAAGGCTGCCTGCAGCATCTCACCATAGTAGGTCTCCTTCAACTTGTTCTCGATGCCCTCTAATTTGCAGCTTCCCACTTCTTCTGCTTCTGCTTCTGCTTCTTCTTCTTCTCCTTCTTCTTCTTCCTTTTTCTTCGTCTTCGTCTTTGTTTGCTTTGCTTTGTCTAGAGTTTACAAACGTCTTCATTTACAGTCCCAGCCTCTCGGCCTTGGTTCTGCTCAATGTCTTGGACCTTTCGACCAGGTCAGGCACTTTTTCTAACCGGTGCCCTTCTCTGACTCGAAAGTGACAGGCAATACCGTGCTTAAAGTCTCTTCTTTCTTGACTTTCTTGTCCTTTTCTCTTTAGACCTTCAGACTGATTAGGCCTTTCTTTTACCTTGGTTCTTTCTTCCTAGCTGTTCTTCCCTGACATGATTGCTATATAATAGAGTTGTGTCGAGCAATGGCAGCTATACATGACCAACCATCAAATAAATAGTTGTGAAAAAAAGCAATAAAATGCAACAAAAAGCAAATGAACTTGCACAAGCAACACAATGTGCTTTGTTGTTGCATTTGTGTTGCTTTTTGTCTTTGCTTTTCTCCTGGTACCACTTCAGCACTTATGAGAACCTTACCCGTCAGCAATATTCGCTGTACGCTCCTAGGAAAACCGATAAACAATAAAGCGAAAAAAGAAGACAAACAACGCGAAACAAATGCGAACATAAAGCGAACACATGTGAAAAACGCGTATTCAAAAGCGACAAACATGCAAAGCGACATTGTTTGCTTTTTTGTTTGCTTTATTTGTGTTTTTGTTGCTATGCTTTTGCTTTAATACTATTTTGTCTCCTTGTACCTATGGCTGGCGTGTCGAACTCAATAATAGAGTGCCCAAACAAGCACCTCCTGTGCTGAGAGTGCCAAGATCTTCTCCGCTGCCTGAAGAGAAAAAACATCCGCATCCTGCTTAAATGGATGGATATGCAGTACCCCGCCGGATGGAAAGTTGTAAGCCAGCAGTTTCCAGATGCCTGAGCGGTTACTTATTTATAAAATTATCAGAAAATACACAAAGGTAAGGTCTTCTTGCTTTAGGTAAACCAAACGCATTGGAAATGTTTGGACACACAATGTGCTCAATGCAAAAGCTTAGCCGTGCAATCAAGCTGCATCTTCAAAGCGGCAGCGCAGGTTCAAACGAGGTCCAGCCTTTCAGATAAAAACTAAGGCAAAGCCTTCAGGTCTTGATCAAACACCCGGAAATGTCACATGGGCCTTGCCCTTCTTGTCGCACACTGCACAAAAGCCGTTCTCATCAACGCGACGATTGCACGGGAGAGTCCGTCCATTCATCCCATCCTGCAACATGTGCGCAATCGTGACTCTGTATTGCTTTGGTTCTTTGATTCGCTTAGGTGGCCTTGAGCTCCATGCAGGCATTGTAGACCAAAGGCCTCCAAGGAAATGATTCCAGGTGATCAACTATCCTCATTGGCTCTTTCTGAGTACCGGGCTGCACTTCATCCCTTTTGCGAGTCTGCACCTTATCATTATGAACGTCTCTTGGCATGAAGAGTTTTGCAATGTCACAAGTCTTTGCTTCTCTTTGCACATCCTACCAAGCTGAGGGAGGCACAGCAGCCAAGCGGCAGTAAATCGAAAAGGTCTCTTGCTCAGTCACCATCTGAAGACCCGAAGCGATCTCAACATCGTCAAAGCCGACTCTCGATCTTTCCCGAAGTGGAAAGTTTCAACTAAAGCAGGTTCTGCCTGCTCAGATGCCTGCTTCATCTGCATGATGTCCATAGTCTTTCCAGAGGCTCGAGGTCCAGGCAAGCCGTTAGTCTGAGGTGCAACGTGAAATCAATGTGTGGCAGACCCTTACTCGAACACTACTACAAGGTAGGTCTACCAGTAGAATCTTCAATAAAAACACATGCTTTTACAACGTGTTTTTTCCAGTGGAGTTCGGACGAATCAAGAAAGAGCGCATGTGGAAAAAACAATTGGTGAACATTCAAAGCAATTCAAGGCGTCCAAGATTTGGCCTTGCAAGAGTCAAACGGGGTGGTAGGCAAGCAACATGCTACAAACGCCTGGGAGATGAAGGTGATCTCTTGGGCGTGGCCCGTCGACTGCCACCACGCTGAGACCTCATGTTTTCCAGTTTTGCACATGCTTTCATGTTTCATGTTTTCCATGGACTGTCCCATGACATTGTGCAAATCAGAAGAACGGGTACTAAGGTTGAACAAACGTCTCGAATGCACCTATATAGCGCTCCACTCCAAAGAGCGGTTGAAGCGGTTGATGTTTCAACTCCCATTTCCGCTTGGTTTGTGGCTGCTTTTGCTTCTGGAATGTCAGGCTGCATCACCATCAAACCGCCCTGCGCAGGAAAACGTTCAGAATGATGTTGAGGAGGGGGGAGAGAGAGAGAGAGAGAGTTCCATCAGGTATGCCATATGGGGACCCACCGCGTGTTAGCAAGGTGTACTTCGGTCCACTGAGCGTGGGCCGTATAGTTCACAGGGTTGTAACGGGGGGGTACCAATGGGGGGTGAGCAAACCGAAATTTTGGGAGAGTGGTTCCTCAGGCTTCTTCAAGGTTGGAACAATTTTGCTCTGGTCGAGTTTTGGCGAGTGGTTTTCGAGTGGTCACCGGGCAAGCCTGTATGATGTGACCTGTTTGAAAACTAAATTCAATCACCTTACCAAGGCTTACTAAGGCATTTTGAAAAAATTACAGTAGTCCTTGGTGAGTTCTTGGTGAGCCTCACTAGCGCTCAATGTTTTTTGAACGATCTTGGGCTTACTAAGCCATACTAAGCCCTACGAAGGCCTACTAGACTCTACCAGCCCCTACCAAGGCCGTGACAGAAACCCTCGACGAACATGTGTGCCATGGTCTAAACACCTCACCCTTGTGGTTATACAAACGGGACGGCAATTGATTCTTGATACCAACATTTGCGCGCGATGACCATCCTCCACATAAGGAGTTTTGACCGATGACTGTCTGCCAATTTCGGTTCGCAACCAATTTCGGCAAACGACCGGACATGGTCCACATGAGATCTGCGCGCTTGCTGCAGGATTGAGACACCTCCAAATGTCTCGCCTGTATAATCTTGATTCAGCGGGTGGGTCATGGTACAAATGGTACGTGTGGAAGTGGGTCAAAGCACTGTTTATTGTTTGTCACACGGTACATCACGGTACCATGATAGATACACGATGACTATATAGCAAAAAAAGCTGTCAAAAACGATACTGAGTTTTAAAAACTTGGAAAAAAAACATACAGCAGAGACTAAATCCGCACTTCAAGGTTCACAAAGCGCGGGGAGCCCTCCAACCTCTCCGAGTTTAATATGTCTTGACAGGTCGCCTCTCTCCTTCATCTAAACAAGGCAGAAACAGCAGAAACATCTCAGCCCACCATCCAAGAAGGGCAAAGGGCCACGAGAGAAAGGGAGACAAAGGAGTGTAAGTGTAAGGGAGACAAGGTCATCTCAGTCCAGCATCCAGCACAGTCATGGAAGACAAAGGAGGGCGGACAAAGGGGACAGAGGAGGACAAAGCAGAATCATCTTAGCCCGGCACACTGGGCCGTCACAAAACCAGAATGAAACACGCCACTACGATTGGCCTTTTCCACTTCCAGTGCTTTCACCCTTCGTTAAAACTACGTGCTGAAGCACATGTAGCAATGCTCTTATCCCAAAACACATGAGCACCTTTGGATATGTCCTTTTCCCCATCGACAAAACACATTGACTGAAATAGTTCTCATTGAACACCAGAGTACAACCTTAGATTCTAGCAATGCTCTGATGTGCAATTCTTGTTACTCCTTTTTCTCTCCGTTCTCAAATAGCATTACATCAACTTGTAATTGGCATCTGCTATTCGTCCAACGCACACACCCATTTACATGAGGAATGGATAATTGGCGTCAAAAAGCCACCACACCAAGGGGTGATGCACCAATCGAATTGCTTGCAAGAATAACTCCTTGTCTAACAAGGAGTCTCCAGGGAGCTTGCGAAACCGGTTGACATAGAAAAGGTCCGATTTCCTTTTTTCCTACAACTTCCACCGCGCTTTCCAGCATCCATATCCGTGCTTCCTCCTGCATCGACTTCGTGTTTCGTGTGATCGATTTCGTGTTCGCCAAAGGAAGAGCGCGCTGGTCAAAGGTTGTCAAGGTCCAAATGCATTCATGCGCTGAGTGTTGCAAGTGCCCAGCGAGACACGCACCCACGCCACATCGTCACAGCAGAAACATTTCCCCGGTCATTCTGGGAAACTTTGTCGAAAAAATGCGGCTCCCAAATTTGTAATCGTGCTTCCACTTGTTGAATGCATGATAAACGAAAGCTGATGGCCAAGTCCAAAAACCGATAGCTGTCCGTGCGAACACACTAATAGCTCACGGCATGAACTGCGCGCAGCCTGTTCCAAAGTTGCTTCGAATCAAACGCGCAAGCATCGAGACACTATAAAATCAGGGAGGGTTCCTGAGCATAAGTTTTGAGTCAGCAAAGATCGGCAAAGTGAGATAACAATATCAGAAGGCTGATATTTAATTTTACAGTGGCTGCTCGGGAAAACGAAAAAGAGGACGAGGACGCGACGCGAGAGCGGCATGAAGAAGCTGAAGCTTGTCGGGCGGGTAAGACTACTATATAATATAGACAATAGCTTCTTTGGGATCTGGATTGAGCTATGATAGAGTGCATCGTCTCTATAAAATCAATGTCCAACTATCAGAAATTAGTCCACATAATTTGGATGAGCAAACCTCGTACGTATGATGTCTCCACTATAAAATGCGGGTCCAACCTTCAATCTATAAATTTGGGGTTCTCCTTTGCATGCCTTCCAGAGGTTTGTCTCCAATTCTATAGAGAGCCTGGCTTGCAATTTTTGAGGCTTACCCAGGTTATGGTTTATGAAAAGTGGAAACACCCAGGGCTCGCGATTTTATAGAGGAAACACCCAGGGTGATGTTTTTGGATATGTTATGCAGCAGGCGCAGCACGAAGGCATTGGGTTTCCTTGAGTCGGTTTCCGGCCTTTTCTTGGGACGGCGGATGTGTTGGCTTTCCAAAGCAGTAAGGGTCTTTTGCAAATAAAACAAAATCCTGACCAACTATTCCAGGATGGACGCGTGAGTTCGTTGATGCTCCCTTTCGATTTGGAAGTGCAAAATTGCTCGGCGATTTCTTCGATTGTTCTTCTTCGAATGTTTGCGCACCCATGAGAAGAGAATGTTTCGCAATGCGACGTTGAAACGCGTGAAGAAATATCGTGCGAAGGGGCTTCTTTTTCCAGGAAAACGGCATATTGTTAGCGTGAAGTGGCGTCGTGCATGCAGTACTTGTGTATTCGAATGTGTTTTCTTGAGTGGGTGCATAAGAGTTGTTACAGTCCGAATGCTATGCGGAGGTATCATGCATCGAGAGAAGGCGTATTCCTCTGTAGTCCGTTGTGTACCGTAGAAACAGCGAAATATGATGAAATATTCAATTGAGCAGCTTCGAAAACCCCTATTACTTTTTTGTATAATCCAGGTTTGCTTTCGCAGAGCTTTCGCGGAGCTTTCGCGGTCTGCATTCTGGCTTTCGCGGAAGGTGTGGTGTTATGTGGGGCTTTCGCGGCGGCTTTCGCGGCGATTCGTTTTCGATTGGGAAATTCGATTGGGATATTGTACAATAAAGTGATTAATCTATATAAGTTATCCGATATAAGTGTCCTTAGGGTGGTCAAACAAATTTCTTTCCGGCAACATCCTGGCACAAGGAGTTATAGCAGCACCGTTCAAGTATTATTGTTGTCATGAGAAGAGGAGGAAAACTTGCTGAAACTTTTTGCTGGGGCCAGATACCTTTTTCGGATATTTTCGACTTTCGCGGTTCTTTCGCGAGGCTTTCGCGCGGCTTTCGCGGAAATTCGTCTGGGCTTTTCGATTTTCCCCTGAAACACTTGCTCTTCAGTGCTGCTGCTGCTGCTGCTGCTGCTGGCTGGTCTGCTGCGGCTGGCTGGCTGGCTGGCTGGCTGGCCTGCTGCGGCTGCCTGCATAAAGATATGGTCACCCACATAAACAACACGACATGCACAAGAAATTCGACTTTCGCGAAAGCTTTCGCCACGCTGTTCTTCTGGGGTTCTTTCGCGGGGCTTTCGCGAACCTTTCGCGACCTGCGTTTTGGCTTTCGCGAAAGAACGTGAGATTACAGTTTGCATACTTTTCATCATAGAGGTTTTTGAAGCTGCTCAATTGCAACGCACACAGTTGTCTGGCTGTGATAAAATGTGTGAGCCATCGAAGCGAAGGGCGGAAACAGCACCGCTCGCATTGAACGAGCATCGAACATCGTCACTTCCTTAAACGAAATTCTCCAGGACGCAACATGCGCTGATGCTTCTGCAGTGAAAGTAAACATGAAACATCGTTTCATGGCGGGCGTATTTCCTTTCTCGCAGAGCAGGCGTGTTGCATTTGCTGATTAATTTCAGGGAGAAGCTGATTTCAGTATGGTCTTGGGACACGTCTTCGCCTTTGTCGTGTGTGGATTCGCACAGAAACACTTTATCTGCTCTCTGCGAGGACATTGACGAAATTTAAAAAAGTCGCATGACACGAGCCCAAGAGCCCAAGAAACATGTTTTTTTACAGGGATGAGGATGAGCATGAGGATGAGGATGAGGGTGGTGATGTGGGTAGTGATGATGTGTGCATGTAAACCTTTCCAAACCAACTGCTGTCTTATCCCTCCATCAGCTCAGAGGCTCAGAGCCCTCAAATGCATCAACCCGCCCTTCATCGTAATCACCACCTCTGTCAATGAGCCACTTCGACCTCCTTGCCATTCCTGCAGCAAATGCCCGATGCAGCTGAGAAGCAGCAAGGCTTTGTCCATGCTTCGCAGGCTTCACAAAATGCTGGCCTTCACCATCACACCCTTCATGACCACCACTGGGTTGCCCTTGAAGACAGTATCCTCCTGGCACAAGAAACAAGAAACCAAGACCCAAAATCATGCATGTTCTCGAGCCATCTATCTGAATCGACTCTAGAACAGTGCTGTTACGGCCTTCTGAGCACGCTCTGCCCAGATTGTGACAATCATGCTCATGGCACTGTCATCCTCAAGTCCAGGAATCATAGAGGACTCAATCAAAACAAACAAACATGCAATCAGCAAAAGTAAGATGATAGCTTCAACGCTTGGAAGGGCAGCTTCACCACGAGCCAAGACCCCGACCGCAATCGTGAGGTTCCTCTTGACAAAGTTCCGCCTCAGGTTGGGACAAAGCAGAAAAAAATGATCGGCATGGGCATCCAGGCATCCAACTAAAGAGATTGCAGATTCCTCTTTCTCTTTGACGTTGTCCAGAGTCTTTTTCATCGTGTCTTTCTCTGCGAAAATCTAGCTTATTGAGGCTTTGGCCCCTTGGATTCAAAGGCAATAGGCTGCTCGAAGGCAGTGATCACACCACAAATGTCAACACTGCATGGCCTCAATTACACACAAATGACAAAGGAACTGATACTGTAGGAATTGGATGAATTCCAAAACCCTAGGGATATGGCAGTGTTTTTCCCTTCACCTTGGCAAGCATGTCGAGAATTTGGGGTAGTTGATGCATGAACAATGTGACTTCTGTTGACATGCCCTGGCCAAGCTTCTGACTGAGCGTAGGTTCTCGATGGCATATCTGAAAAACGTCAGGAATCTCTATTCTCATTCTTCACAGGTCCAACAAACCTGAAAGCATTCTAGGCTGAAGCGGCAGCTGAAACTCTGAGATGCTGACTTCACAGTCTCAATCTTCTGGTCATCTTCGACTTCATCCACCTACACTCGGCAACGAGGGTTTGCATCGAAGAAACAGTTATACTGTATATATATAATCCTCCATGAAATTCCCATGGTCGGTCTGGGCTCCACATGTTTACAGCAAAAAAATGTTTTCCCCCACCTTTTTTGCACTATAGAATGGATTACCCCAGCTAAAAGGATGGACACCGGCTCACTATAGAATGGGGAGCCCAGGCCGACCAAAACCATGCAAAATGACACCTTTGTACGCATATAACCTAAAATAGAGCCAACCATAATTTGGTTTACCCCACCCTCCTTTCAAACGTTCATTGGGTCAAGATGAAAGCTCAAGCGCACACATTCCAAAAAACCATTTTATAAGGGGTCAGGTTTGCAAGGGAATGGACGCTTCATAAAACAGCTGACAATGACGGACAACAACATTTCTGACTCTCACTGTGCACGGTCTCTGTTTATGTTCCGCTCTATTGACAGTGTATATGCTTCGCATATACCATTGGACAATCCCCCATTCCAAAAAAACTACCACTAAGGCTCTGCACAACAAAACCCAAACATGAAATGTCTTGAAAAAACTATCTTTACTCGTGGCTACTCCACGTTCTGGCAATGTCTCGGCAAAACATGAGAACTCATCACCTGCAACAATCAAGCAAACAACTATCCTCAGCCAGATCTGCCAAAAGTGGAAGTGTCGATTGAGCCCTCAGTGCCCTGGCAAATGAAATTACTTTCCTTTATTTTCTTTTGTTATTGTCTATGTTGCTTTGCCACTGGCTCCTTTGCCTCTTTTGTCCTGGCTCAGAATGGCTTAGGTGTGTTGTTCCCGAATGCGTAGCGAAGGGTTCCCGTTTATAGTTGGGGGTCTGGGGTTGGAGCTGTGTTTGCATGGCTTGCGTCGTATCGTCGTCTCTCGTCGTCTGTCGTTGTCTCTCGTCGTCTCTCGTCGTCTCTCGTCGTTTGTCGTCGTCGTCATGTTTCAAATTCGCTGCCATTGGGGGAAGCTTTTGCAAGGGACTTTTCATGGACGTGTCACATGTCAGTTTGCGCCGCTATTACATTGTGATTTGCAGGACCATGACATGTCGCGCAAGAAACATGATGCATTTCGCTGCACAGGCGCATTGCTGCGCAGTGCCATTGGGATTAGCGTTTGGAGAGTCATGTTTTTGGGGTGTTGGATGTGGCCGCGCCATTGGGATTTGCGTTTCAGGATGTGGCATCGAAGCTCGGTTTTCGTGACAAGTCTCAGCTGAAATGGCGATTTTGGTGGATGGGGAGTGTGCTCGCGTGGAAGTGCGTTTCTCGTGGCAGGCGCAGGGAATCGTGAGGTTGCGAGGTGTGACGGAGGTGACATTTCGTGGCAGGCGCAGGCGCAGTACTTTGCCCACAAGAGTGTCCTACAAGAGTGTCCCGTAAGAGTGCCTCACAAGAGTGTCCCACAAGAGTGTCCCGCAACCGTGTCCCACAAAAGTGTCTCACAAGAGTTAAGAGTGTCCCACAAGAGTGTCCTATAAGAGTGTCCCACAAGAGTGTCCCACAAGAGTGGCCTACAAGAGTGTCCCACAAGAGTGTCCTACACGAGTGTCCCACAAGAGTGTCCTACAAGAGTATCCCACAAGAGTTTCCTACAAGAGTGTCCCACGAGAGTGTCCCACAAGAGTGTCCTACAAGAGTGTCCCACGAGAGTGTCCCAAATGAGTGTCCCACAGGAGTGTCCCACAAGAGTGTCCCGCAACAGTGTCCCGCAAGAGTGTCTCACAAGAGTGTCCCTTAAGAGTGCCCCACAAGAGTGTCCCGCAACATTTCCCACAAGAATATCCTACAAGAGTGTCCCACAAGAGTTTCCTACAAGAGTGTCCCACAAGAGTGTCCCACAAGAGTGTCCCACAAGAGTGTCCTACAGGAGTGTCCCACAAGAGTGTCCCACAAGAGTTTCCTACAAGAGTGTCCCACAAGAGTGTCCCACAAGAGTGCCCTACAAGAGTGTCCCACAAGAGTGTCCTACAAGAGTGTCCTACAAGAATGTCATTTGGACATATGTAGCTTTTCGAACGTGTTTGCATTCGGGCTCGTGGGCTCCATCTTGTTTCTTATTTCTGCGCTTTTCACGGAGCCAAAAGGCTTCTTTTGGTTTGGTTTCAAGAATGCTTGGCTTATAGAATGGCTGGAGGCCAGGTCCTGAAACAGCTCATGATCTGAGATTATAGGAAGATTGGTTCTCCATAGAATGGACAGGAGTCCACCCCAAAAAAGCTGTCCATAAATTGAGTGCACCTCCACTTTTGGAGTGTCTTTAACATAGCCATGTTGTTCCTAGAACCGTTTTATGCAGGAGCCTGGGCGGACAGATTTTATGGATGAAATTTTTGTGGGGATTATATATATATATATGTGTGTGTGTGTTCTGGAAAATTAATCATCTAGTCGATTGAAGCCTTGAGATAATATCCGGTGTGGTTTGCTGCGACCGTGCTGGCCTGAGCCATCTTGTCAAAAACAAGCTCGTAGCGATGCTTGCCTGGAGCAAATATTCAGATTAGTCGGCTTGACCTGTAAGTTGTGCCACACAGAAGTGAACCGAATCGGTGAATACTGACCTAATATGGTGATTTTTATCATTTATCTGTGCGCCTTCAGTAAGGCCCGAACATGTATTGTACTGCCTGTTGGCAATGCGGACACTGCCCCTGCTCAGTTTGAAGCACTTCCCGACCTCAACCAGCAAAAGGTCAAGAGTGCTGTTGAGATTCTTCAAAGAGGGTCAATCATACAGCAAAGCTGGCAGACTCAAAACACTGCTTTCTCAAACCTTGGCAGGAGCCCCTGGTAGCGTCCTTGCTCCTAGTAGCGATGCCAGGAGCCCCTAGTAGCTCCGCAGCTACTACGGCGCTTTGCGCTTTCTGCCTCCATGAGGTCAAAGAACTTCTCGGCAGCTTCATTGAAGAAGCTTGCACGGATCTCACCGCCTGGCGAAGCATGACACCAAGCACACAATCATTGAAAAGCAGCCCAGAAATGCACAAATGGTGCACACAAACATACAACTTGTAGAAGGCAATGCTGACAGTTCCCACAAGTCACAAGTAGTTTTGTATGTTTGTTTTGGCTGGCGTGCAAGGAAGCAAGGGCATGCTTGTTCGCTCAGGTTTGGATTGATGAACTGACAGACGGATACATTATATATATATATAGTATGAATCACGTCAATGTCACTGTGAATACAATAGGCCCCGTGCAAAATCTGAATGGCACATATGTCTTCCGTGCAAGGGGCTTATCTGAAGTTGGTTTGTGGGTGTTCGGGGGGGAAAGCAGCATTGTGAGCAGCCCTGACTTCTCAGCACCTTCGGCATCAAGAAGCTCCACGTGGAAGACCTGAAAAAGCAAAGGAATTTATCCAACAGCGATGGCCTCCAACCCAAGAGCGATGGCCTCCACCCTAGTAGCGGTGAAAAAAGGTACAGGCCCGGCGCCGGGCCGTAACCGTCTGTTTTCATTGCTTTCCGGAAAGAAAGCTATTGGCCGCGCAGCGCCTTGCCATCTCCATTTCCATCACGCTTCTTGAACCCACGCCTCCGAGGCACAGTTGAAGCATCAAGAGTGTTCCGGGAATGCACAAAAAATGAAACAACATAAACAACAATCTTCCAAAACATACAGTTCAGCTTGCACATCATGATGCTCATACCGGTAGCATTTTGTGCATAGTCTGACGGTCTGACACAATATGTGTCAAATCCAAAGAAGAGTCTTGTATGATTTGAAGCTCTGCTGCTTTTTCTGTTTTGTTTCTGCTTTTTGGCCTGCTTCAGTGCACTTCAATTGACTCTCTCTCTCTCTCTCTGCAACCACTACCAGCATATCCCGCGGGAAGACTCGGGGCACATGGGAGCGCGCATCGTCACCCTGCCCTTGATGGTCCATTTGGCGCCCTGACAGCATTGTTTTAGATGAAACTATGAAACGAGCATTGTAGCATTGTTTAGAAAGCATCGTAGAAGAAAGCATTCTTGTAAAGCCTAGTGAGGTAGTCAAGAGATGTGAGGTGTGGCAATTCTGCAGATGTCCCATGACGTCCAAGACCTAAACAATCAAAGCTGCTTGGCAGGTGCTGCGGACCTGGTACGTGGACAGCTCACGAATGGGGAAGAAAACCTCCTCTTGGACCTGGATGGTCATTGTTGCAAAGTCCTCAAGGTCAGCTCACCAAGTCTCTGTTAAGCCTTGGAAAGCCCACAGCCAACTTTGAGGGAGCCCTAGAGTTCTTCCTCTATTGCCCTGCTTCCTTTATATGCATCTCTCTGCACTCCTAGTAGGCGGAGGCGAATGTAGTCCGGAGGTCGTGAGATGCTGCTAAGCCAAGTTGTTGCGGTTCACACTGAGAATCAAATCCACTCAAATTCCTTTTTTTGTGAAGGACTGACTGTCTTCTGCAAAAAGTGACTTTCGTAGGCGACACCGCCGGCTTTGCTTGGAATTTTCGATTCACCGGTCCAAACTGTACATAGCGGTGGCTAGGCCAGCGCCTGGCTAGGCGGCTTAAATGAGCGAGCGCTCAAAGTATGTTCACACAAAAAGGACTTGTCTTATTGAATATACAGTAGATGTTTTTTCAAATATAATATGTATTGCTTTGAAAGCTGTACAATAGGCTGGAGACGTGGCAGGGGCCGCTAGTTGCCCTCGGTCACATGTCTTCCCAAGTATCTGGAACTTCCTCCTGGCATGACTTCGCAAATACACGTCGGTCATGGAATAATTCTTCACCGTGCGAGGTGGTTTCTGAAGCATGAGATCCAGGTTCTCTTCACAGCCAGTCTCATCACAAAGTCTCCAAGGAAATCCAAAGGATCTTGCTGCTCCTTGGAGTCCCAAGCATCTAGCTGTGGCTTTGGACGCGGAGCAGAGCGCGGCCCTCCAGAGCCAAGCGGTGAAAGGAAATGTCTTCTGGCAAAATGGTCGATTGAAAAGAAAGAAAACGAAGGTCTGGAGAAGAAAGATACAGAAAGCATTCTCGATTCATCGTTCACCAGCCTGAACTAGATGTGAGGGTCTGTTCCAGCTTGACTCTCAATCGAGAGGTGGGACCTTCAAATATCTGAAACGATTGCTGTGAGTTGTCTGAAACTGTATCTTGAGCATTCTTGAGCTGCGTGTTTCAGTGTCCACGCCCTAAGCCTCCAACTTGGCTGTCCCCATGCGGAGGGGCCACGAACTGGCACCATATCTGCCCCAGGCTCCTGCTCATGTTCATGTACATAAGTCAACTCATCGTACCAAGTGTACGATGATTTCTCAATCAATAGAGATATGTTTCCGTTTTTGTATATATATATAATATATGTATAGATAAGATACAAGTACTAACTACTAGGTGACGACGCCTTCTGGCGCCTGTGGGTGGCGTGTTACATCTCTCCTGAAACCCCCTGAGGAGGACCATTTCAAGAAAATTGAGTAAAAATGGGGTCGTCAGTTTGGACATTAGTTTTTGTTATTTCAAGTACCTGAGTAATAAGAGTTTGTTTCCATCAGCAATCAGGATAAATTGGGATCAATCATCTTAAGCATGAGACACAATGCTCAGAGAGAAGGACTCCCTTCCACGAAATGATTGGACTCAGTCTTGGTGTAAGTTCTCTTTGTAGCAACATGGCATGAAAGCTGTGACATTCTCTCTTAAAAAAGCCATAGTCTGCTCTGTCGGTTTTCAAACGGTCCCAATTGGTCAATTCTTTCACCAAAGTGCTCAGCGGGAAAACCGCCATACGGTGCTTTTCACTTCCAGCGGCAAGCCTTCGACAAGTGCAGCAGGAACTCTTGTCCCGTGACATCTCCATCAGCTCTGAGGTTTTTGCGCCAGAGCCATTGGTACACACGGCGTTCCAACGTTGCATTCATGCAACTGACGCCTTTCATTTTTCCTTTTCTTTTTACCTGCTTCGGCATGAAGCGCTTCAGGCTTCCCCAAGCAGCATCGATGCACTGCGTGCCTCCGACTTTACTCAGCTTGGGCCGAGGAGCACGTCGAAGCTGCACTGCGTATTGTCGTTGCTGGTGTGACACCTGAGCCACAGGGATCTTCAGCTTCTTGGCAAAGGTTCGCCAGCTCGGAGCACCATCTGAGTAGATTGCTGTGTTCTTGTCTGCTCCAATGTACTTTGCAAGGCCTGACCTGTCAATCTCCCGAATCGATTCGACAGGCGGCCGAGCCTTGGGAAGAGTAACCTTCGGCGTCATGAACTTCACCACCATCAAGCCACCCCGCTGGATGGCGCCGACGACACGCACATGGACTGGGTAAGACTTCAAACAGGCCCGTTTCTTCTGCTGCAAATCTTGGATCTGGTCCGCGTAGAAGATGTTGTCAGGCTTCACAAAGAAGCGGCCGAGTGATGTGGCATCACACTCGATCTCCTGGCGGAGCCGGATCAACGACATTGCCTTCTTGCCTGCTGCAGCTTCACGCTCCGACAGAACACGCAAGAAGTTGTCCGCCGAGTTGTAAGGCACGCCGTGTGCATGCACCAGGTCTGTGGCCACCACAGCTTTGGTATGGGACATGTTTGCGTAGCGCACCTACATCCGAAACAAAATCAACCAACGGATCACCTCCCACCGGGTACGAACCAACATCAATTAATCCGTCCAAAAAGAAGGGGTCCACACGAAAAAAACTCTAAAGATGACTCAGAAACGGTTTCCCCACACAAACGAAGCAACAAAATGAACGACAAACACAAAAGAGTTTCGCGGCTGAGAGCCATGGCCGCGGCTGCGGGATTGAAACATGAGCCGAACGAAACCGGCCATAATCAAACGAAAACGAAGGAGAACGGACGAAAACGCACGAAAACGAACGAATCGACGAACCGAACGAAACCACGCCGCCCCCCCCAACCCCCCCCCCCAAAACCCCCCCCCAACACACCTGTAGCTCACAGAAGGACAAAGTCATATATCAAGCACACTAGATACTGCATTATTGGAGGTTATTACATATCAGGCACAGGCGCCTGGAGGCGTTACCAGCAACTACCAACATACCACTCATACTCTGGTTATCTCTGGTTTTTGGAGTTAGCTTCTCGAAAAACAGCTCCAACAGCTCCTGCCCGGTCAAGCGCCGGAAAACTGCAGCGCCGGTGGCACTCCGATCCACAAAGGCGACAGCCTGCGGTGGCTCCAGGTGGCACTCCCCGGGATCGAACGGGTCCAACCTCTCCAAGTTCCCCGGGCCGAACACCAAGGAGGCCCTCCAAACCGATCAGATCGTAGACCTGTCATGGCACAAAGACATGCCATTTCAACCGCAGTGTCTCAGAGTCTTGGAGAGTTCTCCATGTGTTGAGCCGTTTCATTGCAACGTGCAATCTCTGGTCGGATTGGTTCAAAGACACATCCTTGTGCTGCGTGTCAGCTGTGTACGGTGCTCATTCATACTGTACACAACTACAAGCTACAGCATATATATATATATGTATATACCTTGTCTGTCAGTTCAACTGTTTGGAATTGCTCCCAAGTTGGCCTCGTCCAGACCTTTCAGCCCCACAAAACGAAGACAAGGTTGAGAGCTCAAGGCCTCAGGAAGAGGTAAGGCCTCTAGTAGCAAATAGCTACTAGTAGCGTCCTCGCTACTAGTAGTAAGGCCAGGAGCTACTAGTAGCTCCTTGTTAGTAGTAGTAAGGTGCCTTGTTACTAGTAGCGATGCCGTTATGCCTTTCCAGGAGGAAGACTACACTTGCGATTGGGTCTGAAAACAAGATTCAATCGGAATTAACAGATTAACATACGCAAGACTGGTCGCAAGCAGCAGCGCGCACGAATGATTTTTCTGGGCCAGCAGCACAGAGTCTTCCCCGCAACAAAGGTGTCCGGCTTCTCAGAATGGACTGCTTTGTCTCTGTACAACTCTAGAAAGTTGCAAACAGGTCCTCTTGGCACCAACCATGGCAAAAGAAGCTGTCAACAGGCTTGCTTAGTGTGTTTTGAATTGTACCACTATCCCTGCTATATAAAGTAATCTGGCCATATCTGGGCAAGAGTGCCAGAGTGTGTCACAAATCTGTCCTTCATGACATGGTAGCGTCAGTCAGTCACCCTTCATTTGTCCATGGATTTTCGAAGTCACGGATGCTTTTTTACTTTGCACGATGATTGAATTTGCGCTAACGAGCGACCAGGTGCCTCGGAGACAGCTGATTGAAAAAACTGGAGTGGCTCAGATCACATAATGAGAAAGTATTCCTTAAGAGAAAGAATCTTCAATGCGTTTCCAGCATAGAGTCCAAAGTCAAACTTCAGGGACCGTGATGGCGTTTTGATAAGAATGTCAAAACTTCGAGTAGGTATGCTGTGTAGCTGATGCCCATGTGCGCGGCTCAGTCCAAGGCCACTCAGCGCGGCAAAGTTCAGGATGTTCTGCCGATGCTTCAAATGCTGGTCATGCTGTTGCAAGCATTCAGTGGCAATTGGCAATTGCACAGCTCTTTTCAGGACCCTTGCCACCTCTGGCCATCACCAGAAACATCTGACAGGCCGCTTGAGCTGCTTGCACCTGTGAACCCGACGTAGTTGAACCCAGCGAAAGCATGGAAGTAGTTGTGCTATGTTGTGCTGATCAATTCGTCTGAGTACAGCAATGGGCACTCTGAGGCTTGCATTGACTCAAAGCTTTGACGCTGCACCCGTTCCGCACGAATAAGGCTGCCACGGCTGCTCTTCAAGCCCTCCTCTGATACACCGACTAATATGTTTCTGTTTGACCATGTTAGAGTTTGTTAGAGTGCTGAGACAGTTGACTGCCTTTGGATCTGGGAATTGCCGCAAGAGAGTTTGGAAAACCTTCTATCCAAATACTGTCAGGATCCAGTCCTTCTTGGAACTCGAAATCTGGCTCTGTTGACTCGTCATGGAGGGTGATGGAGACGACCCTCGCTTGAAAACAGAGTCCACGTCAAGGGTGTGGCCTTGAGCGGAAATTGCATCGACCCCGATCGGTCAAGTCAGACAGTGGAGTGCTTCTGCACATCTAGCGAGCGTAGGATTTAGGATGCGGCGTGTAATCTCCTTTCGCAATGATGCTTCTACTTCTGCCTCTGTCTCAAATTTGAACTTGGAACCACCTTAGGCAGTCGAACTGAAGGTGGCAAGAAAAAATGCCTCACATGCTGAGAGCCGTGCCACGTCTGAGCGACTCGCCCTTGGGTTTGGAGCGGTTTTGAAACCCAAGCAACAACACACCTTTAGTCATGCAGACTGGTGACTGGTGGTGACACACACCTTGGCACCCAGCCAAGCCAGTGCTCATGCTACCGCGGCTTGCAGTTGGAGACATCGCCAGTGAAGACATTGTTGGAAAAAGGGGTCTGCAGCAAAACTGTGAAAACTGATTGAGTTTTTTCATATTGATTTCTTGTGGAAAAAAATGAAGCAAACACATTCGGCGGGATGCTCATAGGTCCAGCGGCCTCCAGCGGCCACGACTACTTCTGTGGGGTTCCTGGCACCCGTGCAGATGGACATGCGCAAGTTTCGATTCACTAGCAATCCAGAACATATTCAAACACAGTTGTGGCATGTTGTGGCTAGGACATATGGACCAGATTGGTAATATTCCTTTGCCACCCAATTGTTTGTGAGGCACAAGAAACATTCCCTAGACCATGACTTGCAGGTCAGCACTGCAAGTAGAGTGTAAGACAGGGCACAGCTCTGCAAAGCAAAATCAAGAGATGGAAAGCATAAGATGAGAGCCATAAGACATATAAGCAAAGTCCATTACATTTGAGATAGGTACGGATACGAATCAAGTAAACTACTATTCCAGGCGTCCGTCAAGGGCCGATGGATGCGCATGGAGTGTGAGGAGGATGTAACGCACAACAAATTACACCAGCATCAACCCCAAACAGCAGCGGCACATCAACAGCGAAAGTCGAATGTTTTGGCCACCAGTTTAGAGCCATGGGAGACAAAGGGGGACAAAGGAATACAAAGCAGACTCATCTCAGCTCATCATCCAAGAAGGGCCATGGGAGACAAGCATCCAGAAGAGCCATCAGGCGCAAAAAGAGGCAAAGCAGACTCATCTCAGCCCAGCATCCAGAATAACATAGTGTGAGTGCATGTGCATACATACTTTACTAATAGAAACAGAGACTCACATGTCAATGCTCATGGACAAAGCTTATATAAGTAAAAGCTTTCTCGTTTCTACAACCAATCGATGTCCGTGCGCCACCATGATTTCAGAGTAAGTTCTTCAGCTGAACAAGCATATACAGTGAACTCTTTGCAACAAGCCTGCCGTGCGAATGTCAAAGCCTTTTCAACATCAATCTATTTAGCGAATTGAAATCGTCAAGGCAAACCCCTCTCTTGCCATGCTGCAAGCCCTGCCTCGTGGAACTCAACATTTTTTTTCTGCCTGCTAAAGCCAAGGTGCACAGTGTATATCAGTTGCATGAAAACAAGATTCTGGACATAGAGACTCGCTGCAAAACGTATGGATGTTCTGTAAGTGCAAGAATTCTTGTGCTCGCGAGCCTCTCACTTCCGTCTGAGACGTTTTTCTCGATGTCGGAGGGCCGCGCATTTGTGAGGCAAGTTGACCTGCGAAAATTGCATCTCTCTGCGACAGGTCAACGCCTTGGTAGCACTGGTTTAACTTACGACGTAGTGTCCGACGCTGCACGCGCTGCCTTCCAGACATGATGTGCCCGATGAAGTTGTCTGAGAGTCCACCATCGGACTGCACAGGCCTGATCGCTGGGCCGTCCTGCAGTTGGTTGAAAAAATACACATGAATTACACCCACACAAGTTACGCAGCACACCATTAAATTGTTCTCTATAAATCCCCACATGCCAACGTGTCATTCATAAGAAACCCAGCTTTACTGTTGTAGGATTCAAATAAAGGCAAGTCTGTGATTGAAAATTACATCGAACGAAGGCACCTCGAAGAGATCAGTCGGCTGGACAGAGTGCAGTGGCCTGGCTGCCGCACCAAAACTCAGCCAGCATTGAAGGATCTCTGTAGATTGCTGATCTGGTTTCAAAGTAGGATTAAGGCACGTCGCACGCATTGGCTTTGTTTGATACTTGCATTGCACTGAATATACAAGATTCAGAGTAAAGCTTGAAGCAAGCAATGTTCGTATGAACTTTGGTGCCATTTGCAAGCTCCAACTCTTGTCTAGAAAAACATTTGGAGCCCTACTTGTTTGTAGCAAAGGAATGTGCTCAAGGAACAAATTGAGATGCTCTATGATATGATGAAGAGTGGTGTTATTACAGAATGATTAATCCGGGGAAAATTGATTTCCTATTGTGGAATTCAAGATTCAATCCTTGGAACAGATTGCATCCTCAGAGATCTCCCAGCAGGCATTGATGTCGGGAAAAAAGACACCCTTGAAAAGTACGTAAGCCGGCAAAAAGGTTCTGCACAGGCTGCTTGGATCCAACTCTCTTTTGTCTACCTCACATTGTCTTCTGATCTGGAATGTGTTCGATTCATAGAGTACAATAGTGATAACCTCTTCGTATTCAAGAGTGGTCAGGGACTAATGCTCTGCTTCTTTGCTCAGCAGCTCTTTCGGTCGAGATTCTGAAAGCATCTTCTCCAACTTACGCTGCATTCGATTGATTTGAAGGGACCAAGTATGTTACCACACCTTTCTTTTGGAGTCAAAACTCCTCAGAGCAGCCCTGATTTGTTTTGTACTCATCCGCCCAGCATTACTTATGGTAGGTACACTGGCTCGGTCGGGCTCGGGCAAATTGCACATATTACTTGTTTCACAGGCCATGGAGGAGGTCAATTCCGACAGTTTAAGCAGCACAAAAGCTGAACTGTATATACAGTGAAGCAGTTTAAGCAGGGGAGACACAACACATTGAAGCAAAAAGAATTGTTTTCCTCGAAAAGCGACAGGTCGCAGTGAAACAATAAAACCCTGACAGGCACTGTCCACAGGTCAAAGAAAGTTGATATACACAATAGGCCAGCTTGACACATCTGTCTCCAAGGCAGGAGTCATGGAAGCCAAAGCAAGATCCTGTCACAATTGCGACAAACTGTTCAGCTCACAGCTGCCATTCAACTGCACTTTGCCACTGGGACATCGGCTATTTTTGGAGACAAGAAGGCCCAGTGGCAGCTTGGGGGGGAATGACATCCGAAAGCCTTTGGGGACGGCGGGATGGGAGATATGTAGAAGACAGAGGCATCATCTTTCTTGCATCGACGGAATCAGGAAGTCGTGACAGTTCGCACCTCGATCTCGTGGCTAGTCCTTGTGGCGCTGGTTTGTCCAAAGCACCAAAGCGATAGCAACACTGTGACAAGCCAAGCTTGTCACTTGACAAGTCAAGCCAGATGGAGTTCTTGTTGTAAACTCCGCGCAGTTGTGTCTGTCCTGCTTGCCACAGCATCATGCTCCTGCCAACTCTCCAAAAGCATACTGAGGATTGTTAAAAGCAATATTACCTTTGACAGGCAACATTTAAAGACTTACAGAAACATATGTGTTCTGTGATGTTGACTAGCAACGCTTCCTTGTTATGTAGATTGTTTTTCCGTAATTTTATAAATAAGAGTCGCTCAACAGTCCCGCCTTTGGAGTTTCACCTGCAGCGTGAACAAACCTTCTCCGTTGCAGCATATAGACCTAGCAATGATGCAGCTCTGTGGAATGTGGTAACAAGATGTAGCAAGTAGCAACGATCTCATTTGAGATTTGACTGATTCAACGGTGTTATGGTTGTCCAAATCAACCAGTGAGTCCGAAGAAATGTATTGAACGCAACCTTTAAGAAACTGTTGGACCAAGACCTCTCGCCAATATATTAGACATGTGTTCAGTATACACAAACATTTCGGCTTTTGGAGTAAAGAGCCGATCAAGTCATGTCATTGCACAAAACGTGTTGTGAATGACTTCTCCTGCATGACTCAAAACAGCTCCATCAACAGCAATTTTGAACAGCATCGAACCATGCAGTCGCGGCATTTTCTGCCAAAGCTGTATATAAAGAAATCAGACACCTCCGAGGCTCTTACTAGGTTGCACAACAAAAGAGCGAGGATCGTGAGGACTGCCAGAAGACCGGCAATCACCTTCCAATGCATCAGCGAGTTGCTCCTCTTATCGTTATATATTGAAAGACTTTGGCTACGGGTGGAAATACCATGGAGCTGACAAACCCAGTGTTGTATAGAAGGTGTAGGTTTTTTGGGGTGGCCAGCCGCACAGACACAACAACTTTTGAAGCATGCACACAAAAGCTCAATGATCAATCAGATAATCAGGTCCTCCAGTGAGAACACTACAGTAATTCACATTGCTCCACACCAAGGGCACTATGTTGGCTCTGTTTGATATTGTCGAACTGCAGCACAATGAATTTCGCAGTGGAAAAGAACTATAAGTATGCGGAAATGGTTGCTGGTCTGGTGCGGGGACAATGGGCAAAACTCAAGAGTGGTGAAGGTGCTAGATCCACTAAGGCGGCAACAGTCTTCTGGAACAGTCTTGTGGACTAGACCATTCAGGCTCTTGGCAACATTTCAATAGTAGGTTGGAGGCCATACCTATTAGGTTGGAGGCCATCGCTATTAGGTTCCTTTTGCTATTAGGTTGAAGGCCATCGCTAGTAAAGAGTGGCAGTGCCAGCTTCCACTTCTTGACCGTCTCACGGGATGCAATCAGTCACACCATCAGCATGCAGCGATGCATGCTACATCCACCCCTTCCGAGCAGCATGCAAGTTTGTACACTTAGAAAATGAGTGCGGCACGCCATGGGGCCTGTGTTTTGGTTTTCCACAAATTTCTGATACGGCAAACATGTTTTACAAAGATAAAGAACCCACATATATATATATATGGGAAATCTACTTTCCCAGAGATCCAGAGGAACGCTTCTGAAACAAAAGCTCTCTAAATATAGAAAAGATTATATATTTCACGAATCTAGAGGAAACCCTTTGAAACAACAAGCTTGTACATATATATATAGCTTTTATTTTATAAGTGATCATTCATCAAAAACTAGAGGACAGCTATTGAAATGACAGCTTATATAAAAGTCGTTTTAACTATAGAAATGATTATTTCCATAATTTTTGGAGGAAAACGTTGAAAGAAACGCTCTTATAAAAAGCTTTGTAAATATATAGAAATGCGTATTCCTAGATATTGCTTTTTGAAAAATCTATATAGCTATCTACTCAACAACAATGTTTTGACCTAGTTCCCAGCGCTCGCAGGGCAAGAACACACTGTAAAATACATGGTTTTGTAGCATTGTAGCATTTGTCGTCATTTGTAGACTTGTACATAGAGATTTGGACAAGGACAAAGGGAGTGTTGGGCTCAGACGCTTTCAATTGTAAGACGAAAGTGCAAATGACCTTAGGGGAGACTAAAGGAAAACGAGATAGGAGCAGCACAGATTGTCTTAGAAAGAAAATTGCAAAAAATAAAAAAAAATTGGGAACCCAAAAGAATCAAAAATAATATTGGGAACCCAAAAGTGTTGGGGAAGGGGAGGGGGTCCTGCCAAGAGTCTCTGAGAATTGGTGTTGTTTTATTGTTTTTTTGGGTGTTTCCCAAGAATTTGTTTATTGGGTGTTTCTTTTGGACCATTTCACTATTCTTTTTTATTTTTGTTGTATTTTTGAGTAATTATATATCTATAAGCAATCTCAGTGCAATTCCATACAACTTAAGTCTAAATGCAGATTTCCAAAACGCAGGCCCCATGGCGTGCCCTTCTGAAAAAATGTACTACAGTAGTAGGTGTAGATTACGTTCCTGGCTTCTACCCTTTACCGCCTAATACAACCTGCACCTGCTAAGTCAGGGGATGGAGGCTATGACCGCGCCTGGAGTCCTCAAAAAGACTATGCAAACCCAATCACACATTCTATGGCGCCAACCCGCCCCATTCAAGCCTGCTTAATCCTTTGGTACCAAACAAAAGACACATGATTTACTGAAGGACAAACGAAACCAGGCACCTGCGACTGTCGTTCCATGGACACGTGCAGCACCAACCATGTGATCGCCCCACAAAGCAGAGACCTTGGTGTCGACAGAGTCTACCAACTGAACACGTATCCCAAATGTCCTGGTTTGTACGTAGGGGAGAAGCAAGCTGGTGTCATAGCTTCATGATTCATCTGTATTAGGCTTCGCTATTTCAGCTTTATCAAAATCATTTTGCAAACTTGAACTCTTCCTGAAAACGAACACCACAACTGCTATACTGAGACATGCGTGGCTTAATCTTTGAGACGAGTGTGTGACCACTGGCATGATCAACCAGGTTGGAGGCCATCGGTATAGGTTGGAGGCCATCGCTAGGAGGTTGGAGGCCATCACTAGTAGGTTGGAGGCCGTCAGTAGTAGGTTGGAGGCCATTACTAGTAGGTTGCCCATCAGCAGGTTTCAACTTCACGTGCGCTACGCTCAACTCTGTCTAAAACATAACTGCTTTAATCTGAGCCATGTGTCGTTTCGCCATGTAAGTGCTTAGACTGAGACATGCATATTTTTGAGGCAAGCATGTGACTACAGGCAGGCTCCATCACCACAACAGCTGAAACTCACAAAAAAAAAAGCTGGAAACAGTGATTTTGAAGACCCTGCAAAACTGTCGATACAGCAAAGCCAGTGTATCTGCAGTGAACCCATTGACGGCGAGCTATGTGGTGAATATCCATGATGGCCACCAGTTTATATAAGTCATCTTGGAACATCCTGTAATCTCTCTCTCATGTCTCATGTTGTCTAAGCACGATGACAAATCTGATGCCAAGTCCCCCTGGAAAAGTACCTGGGGGCTCCGCCACTGAGATGCCAAAAGCACCACAAGCTGATATTGATACCTGCACTGACCTCGGATACAGTGCAAAGGGTGTAGTCTGCATTGCATTGCTTGAGCCAAACAGAAACATGTGATTGGGAATGTCGAGAAAAGTCTCTTAGATGAGCACTTGCTCTTCCAGCAATATCCTCGACACAAAAATCTGCAGTTCCCACAGGACAGCGCGATTACTATTACAATTGCAACTTGGGTGCATTTTGGGCGGTGTGTTTTTGACAGAATATCGTGCTGTTTCTCACAAGCACATGTTCCGACAGTTCAGCTCAAAGTGTTCCCATCTCCTTCGCGCGGACCACACAGTATTGCCTGGCAAAATCAGCCACGTCTTCGGCATCGTTGCTTTTCATCACTATCGGACTGCTGTGCTTTTCTGTTACCCACCCCTCCACCCCTCCATCCCTCCCCTCTGTCCTGAGGCCGAACGCCGTGCAAGAAATCACCAGGACACTGAGGCTCAGCACTTGAGAGGGCAAACCTGGGCCGCTCGACTCAGCTTGGGACGTGTTTTTGCATGTTTTTCGATTGGGCGACCGGACCGTCAGACTCCAAGTACGGCCAGTAGCCGAACAAGTCCAGCATGCACCTGTTGCATCTTTTTGGCTGGTGTATCAGAAAAAAAACAATCCCAAGACTCTTTTGCATCGCCCTTCGCTACAGTTTTCGCCATGTGGCATGGTTGTCCAGCAACATAGTCCAGAAAGCGTGAAGGAGAGCTCAATCACCTCCCGACAAAGTAAAGGAATCGCTGTATGAAGTAGTGTTGTGCTAAGCGTACCTGCCACCCAGGACATCGCTGCAATCCTGCAAGAAATAGAAAGTTCCACATGATTCCAAATGCACCAGTCTAGCGGCTTGACACATACATCACAAGCATTTTCTTGGTACGCGTGTGCTGAGCCTTCCAGACTGTTCTGGGAGATCCAGGCTGTGTTGCCTGCCACCTTCAGAGCCAAAGGTGAATGTTATGAAGCTACGAAGTAAATAATGGTCAAGCCCTTCAACTCATGTCAGTATTCTATGCAAAAACATGCAAGGTGTGAAATCGGTGTGAAATCGATGTGAAATGAAAGTCAAACAGTTGCAAAAATAGCTCAATGATGCTCCATGGAAAGTTTCCAAGTAGATTGCCTCACGCTCTGCAACCACACCGGTGGCCTCAGACCAACGAACTTCTTTGGAAATCTTTCTAGTGTCCTGTGCCTAGTCATCAGTAGCCAAAGAACTTTCCCGTGCTTCACAACAACTGAATTCTTCAACTCCCAGTGGTCTCAATTCTTGGTGCACTATCTCAGCATCATGTTCGGTGGGCCTTGCAACTGAGATTTGACACATCTTTTCTCGGTGCCTGGCCTCTCCAAAGCTTACAGGGTCGGCGGATGGACTTTTGGGCTTTGCTTCTGGAGGCAAAGGGATAGCAAAATCCTGCGGGACTTCGAAACACAAAGATATAATACTTTCTGCAGTGGAGCAAAGCAAGGCGCAAGTAGGTTGAAGACACCGCTTGCTTGCGCAATCCACATTGACTTCGAATTCTCCTCGGACTCTACCTTCATGGGAGACCATGGGCAAAGACAGCTGACCCTGTCGAGGGTCACGCTCCCGCATCTGCAAAGTATGATCGGGACCTTTCCGTTTGCCTATCAATGGCTGCTGTAGCTGCTGTACTTCTTGAGGGGGATCTAAGGACCTTGTGAATCCCCACAACCGCTAAGATATCCGTTTGGCGCCACCAATGCAAACATGAACATGAGAATAGAAGGACCGTGTCTGGCTGCGCGGTATCCTATCCCCTTTGGGGTCGGAGAAGCTTGATCCAAAACGGCATTCAGAATGTTGCTAGCAAGCACGGGTCACAGAGAGAGAGAGAGAGAGAGCTTTGTTCAGGACTACCGTGGCTCTCATGGCCATTGAATCTCACAAAAACTGTGCCCAGCACCATATGCAATTGTCCAGACACCGCTGACATGGTTGAGCTGGCAAGCTCCTGACATTGAAAATGAACGAAGCCCCACAAAGATCACTGAAGTGCACATGCAAACTAAGCTAGTGCTTTTGATAGCTCCAGCTTTGGAAGAATCCAAATGATGCTGATGGTGCTGCTTGTATGAAGAGGCATCACTGACATCTTTTGCAGGTGGTCCGGTCCCCTCTGATTGTTTTGTGTTTTCTACATGAATGCCTGACCAAACAAAGACTTAAAACACTTCTTGTCTGCTGTTTCTTTTGCAAAGTATTGCGCGTTTGGTGGGTTTTCGCAGTTTTCTTGGTGGATTGTCGATTTATCGATACCTGCACCTCTAGAGGTCACCAAAAGTCCAACTTTGCCAGGATCGGACATTAAATCAGTCTGCAAAATCAAACGGACCGTCAAACGGATTGAAGTCCGATTAAGTATCTGTGTCGCTCTTCACAACATGAACTTGAAATCTCGATGGAGCTGCGAAACCCAAATCACAAGTTCAACAAAGGTAAGGTCAACATGCCCACCCACCCATGCCATCATTGGCTCCGAGAGAAGGGGTCGAGGAAAGCGGGATGTGGTAGTTACTGCAACCTGGCAGTGAAGTGATGCCTACCAAAAAGTGCAAGTTGTCCCTTTTTGTTGAAGGATGAATCTGCATAGATGTGTGACTATAATTTAGATATATATATATATAGATATTGATGTAGATATAACTATAGCCACGTTGAATCGTGGTCTCAATCATTGTCCATTCTGGCCATCATGACATCATATGGCTTTATCATCATTGCCATGCTCGGACAAGAGAAGACAAAAAGTTATGGTCTGCTTGTACTCATAAACAGCAGGGTCCCAAGGTCCAACAAATATATCTTCAGCCTGTTCAAAAACAATGCATCCAACCATCAATACGACACGCATTTGAGCCCCGCACTTGCACCTGCCACCAGCCCTCGCGTCAAAAGGACTGAACTCAAGACAAAGCTTGAGCTCATTGACAAAGCTGAGCAGAGGCACAAACGTGTCGGACAATGCAAATAAGCTTCCGTGGCTTGACCTTTGCATCAAAATAGTGTGTGCGGGGCCTCAACAGTGTCAGCCTTTGTAGATGTTTTGAGGCGCCAATGCAATCGCGCATACCTTCAAAGCAAGGGCTGACTGACATGAACTCTTACACCTATGAACCCACTTCTGTTGGAATGTCGAAAACAAGCACAACACACGGGCAGTAGTGCTGTGATCTTTTGGGACTGAATCAGCTGATTTCTCAGCAAGTCTTTGGAGACTGTCACTGTCTTGGTCCATGCACTCGATGGCTAAGAGCCGGCAAGAGGCATCACATGGAGGCAAGGCCTGCTTCAAAGCAACCGTTGAACGATTCCTTTCCAAGTTGTCCTGTTCTTGCTTTTCTTGTGGGTGAGGTGGGAGTATGTAGGAAATGTAGCTATGGTAGTAGCTTAAGTAGCTACTAGATGCAAAGACGCAGAAGGGCTTGGGCTCTTGAAGTTTTAGAAAAAAAACAAAGCTGCTGTTCTCCAAAGCAGTCACTTGCTGGCACCTGCGGTTGACTTGGTGTCGGCCTTAACAGCAGAGCTCGTGAGGGAGCTCACTACTGCTGATGTTGAACTCTTAATGTGTTTGTCATGAAATGGCCCATTCTGCCGAGTAAGCTGTCAGATGACCGTCCAGGGCTGCTGTGGGTGGAAGAATGACCCGTGCATCTAGAATCTAAGACTAAGGTTTATCTTTTGAACAAGACATCAACAAGGATCCTTTGCAAGACATTCATATATATATATATATATGTCAATGGTATCTTTAATCACGAATCCCATTCAAGAAGCACTCAAATCCTGGTTGCATGTTCGGGGCCAACTCCTTGTCAACACAATAAGCGCAGGATTGTTTGTTTTGGCAGTCAGCATGACCAAATCCCATCTCGAGTTGGTTGGCACACAAAAGACATGCGCAAACATGGTTCAAGACCTTTTCTGATGCATTTCACACAAAGGGGCAGCTCTTGAAGAGTCCACCCAGCTGCAGCCAGCTCCCGGCCAGCTGCCGGCTGCCAAGCTGCGCTTGGCCCTCTTGAATAGCTTTCTTGAATCCTTCATGAGGTTGCAAAGGACGTCAAATTAGGATCTGCAAATTCGCGTCGGTCTACAATAGTCGGCTACCCAAGACTGGCCAGCGAACTACTCTTTGCTTGCTCGCCACCACCATATTTGATGGTTCAGTTGAGAAGCCATCCAAATTGGAGCGACACTCTACCGAACCAACACACACACCTGTGGACTGAGTGATTTACAGCTTTGATGGCTTCAAAAAACCTAGGACAGCTTTGTGTCCCAGATGCCATGCCAACGTGATGCAAACTCACCCTGTGCCTGAAGCATCATTTGCACATCAACGATTGCAAACGAGGGGCACTTGAAAAGTTCACAAGTTTACCTCAATCCGACTTGTCGAAATTCCAACAAACCTCCGGCAGGCTGGGTTTGCTCAAACAAAGATACATGGTGAGCTCCCAGGTTGGGACTTTGGCGGTCTCCGACCAACCGCAAAATGCAAGTGTTTACTTCGAAGCACGGTGCAAACACCAGCTCAAGGCTACCGCTTGCAAGCTCACACTGCTGCAAACGAGCCAGCACTTGCAAGACTAAGACTCCATAAGCAGCATTCATGTTTGAGGGTTTTTGAGGTGCTTCTGAGAAGTTCACAACTCCATGTATTCTGATGTTGAGCACCTCCAAGGGCGAGGTTGGGCTTAAGCTTTTAGTAGGTTTGTCGATATGATCTTCAAAACATTTAATCTATTTTGTGATTTCAAATTTTCAAGCCAGGTCGGTGGGGTTCTGACAAAGCACACTCTGTCTCCAAGTCTTCTGTTGTTTGTGTTATTCACCGGTTCCATGTTTTCAAATTACAGGAGGCAGTAACCCATTTGTATGTCTACTGCCAAACGACTAGCAAGCTGAGCAGATATCGTCACTTTCCCAACAGGGATGCACGCCGGCAAATGAACTTGTCGCGGGTGAAGCTGCGTTTTGTCCAAACTGCAGCGGTCTCCGATGTCTCAGGTCAACCCCATGTCTCGCGTGATTCCATGATTTACAGTAACAAGAAGCTACTAGGAACAAGTGCCTTACTACTAGTAACAAGAAGATATTATTTTAACATAATTCTATTTTTTAAATTTAATCTAATACGCTTTCACACCCATCATCAAATCATCAGTAGAGAGGTGCTTGAGGGTCAGCCGTATTGCAGCAAAAATTGATGTACAGCACACTTCCAAGTGGTTCCCATATGGTTACATAGGTCATCAGTCTTGCAGCGCCAATGCTCAAAGGGCCTTACCCTAGGAGCCCGGAATCAAATGCCACAACACTCCGCTGTCTGAGCGGTGCTTGGGAGCCTCAGCAAACCCATCACTGCCGCTCTGTGCAAGCGTAGCAATCCAAATTCCAAATGAATGAGGGCAACACGGCTTTGGCTTTCGCCTTCTTCCCAAAAGGACTGACCTCAGGTCATTCCGAGACTCTGAAAGCAATGAGCTGATTACGAGCCAAGCTCTTTGCTGGCCGAGGTGGCTTTGCTTCTTGTGCAAGGGTAAAGGTGACCTTGCTGAGCATTCACTATCCAGAAAATGTACAACACCTGCCCCTCGCCGCGCTAGGGAAAACTCTGCACAGCCAAGCTACATGTTGGTTCACCGAAGGCGAGTGTGAGCGTGTTCCGGGCTTGTGAAGGATGCTGTTCAGGCTGTAATGGCTAGTCCTTGCTGTGCCAATCACATGAGCAGGCCCATTGCCACATATAATGTCTGTTTGCCAAGAATCGGTGTTGGCAGCGTCGGGGTTTGCACAGGCGGCGAAGATGGAGCGATCAAATGAGACTGGTCAGACCTGCAGAAAGCAAACTCAACTGAAGCAGGAAAAGGTCAGTGAAGGCAGTAGAAAACGCTGTTCCACTATGTTCCACCTGTCCTGCAAGGCCTTGCAACGGACGCTACACATCAACCCACACTCTAAACTGAGGTCACTGTGCATGCAAAAACATCCATCAAATTGCGTTTCATCTAAAAGCTGAAGGACCCATCCTAGTCCAATCTAGGAGTTCATGTTGATACGAGTGGAAAGAAACAAATAGCATGTTGTATCAGCTGAGAAACTGAGGAGAGTGTAGGGGAGAATCCAGTGGCAAAGGCGCACGTGGTGTGTCTGGTTGCCAAAGATTCATGGTTTCCTGCCAGACTTCATGAAAATATCTAATGTGAAATGTCTCCAAGCTTCAAAACTTGAAAAGGATTGGCCAAAGATTGTTTTAAAAAAATTGTCATCTCCTGTGGCATGTGAACTTGTCGAACCAATTGGTCCAGGCCTGGCAGCGGGCCTTTGTAGCTTCTTGTTACTAGTAGCGTCCTTGCTCCTAGTAGTACGGCCAGGAGCCCCTAGTAGCGTTCTTGCTCCTAGTAGCGATGCCCTTTGCTCCTAGTAGCGTCCTCTACCCCCCCCCTTTGCTCTTCGTTTCCCGTTGGTCAAGTGGTTTGCTGAGTCCCATCACAGGTGCTCGCCTTCTTCTTCATCCGCGTCGCGCCACCAGAACTTGGGCCTGGCCCGTAGTGTGTTCACAACTGGCGGGAGTGGTGACAGCAGTGATACTTGTAGTCTTTCACAGCTTCTCGCTTTATCCGTCTTACACTCTCTATAGTCTTTGTGATAGATCGTAGTAATCTTGGTCATGACAGGGAGGAGTCATGTTGCTCGTGTTTTTGGCTGCTGTAGACGTGGTCGCGCAGGTGGCAATCCGCGTTAAAAAGGGGCAGATGTGGGAGCCAAAATGGAAACAAGCATGAACATGATTTGTAAGGCCACTTGTTTATCGATGCATCAATGAAGCAAAAGTAAAGTAAGGATTTGAAGATTGATTCATAGATCCCAGCTACAAAATCTGGGTGTTGCAGGGATAGCCATATGATTGTGGACATCTGGGAAAGAAGAAGGCAAGCAATCTGATGCCACCTGCGTGTAGATTAGTAGTATCACACTGGGTGATAACTTGCAATAGAATGGGAAGTACACTTGAGGTCTATGAGAGGGCCTTGCCTTACATAGCTCTGCAAGACAGGGCCTAAGGCAGTTTACAGAAACATGCCTGGAGGTTTGGCGGTTTGAGTCAGCCATATCATCCACTTTGGCATCCGGAGGCAAGCTCGGGAAGTCACAAGGCCTGCGAATTGTCAAAGTCTTTGCTGAATGCTGCAAGGCATTCAAAGGTGTGCTCTCAACTGAACTACACTGTATACACCTTAGAATCCTTAGAAGAAAAAGAATGCATTTTAAGGGTGGGCTCAGCTGTGCATCTCTGCCTTGCCCACATAATGGCAGTACACGCATCGTAAGCCTCCTCTGGCCTTCACACAACGCGGGACAGTTCAGAAGTGTCTTGGTGGATTTCATGTTTCAACACAAGCATGCAAAAAGATTTGCCAAAATGGTAGATCTTTAACAAGATGTTCAGGAAAAACAACGTGAAACTGTGCTCGATGCTACCTGCCGGATCCTGTGTTGCCTTGGTTCCTTCAAGGGAGAAATAGCACATGTTGAGTGTAGGGAAAAGAATACAATCATCTTTTCTCACCAGAGACATGTCATTAAAGAAAGACAATTTCTTTGTTCTATTGCTTCAGCCAGTGTTGAACCTTCATCATCTGCAAAGCTGTTGTTTGCATTTCTTCTCTCTGGCCTAAGGGTGTCAAGTCCCTCAGGATCACAAATCCTTAGAAGCTCAGCAAAAGGGGGAACTCCATTTGCCAAAGAAGCATTTTATACAAAGCTTTGGCCCTTGCCCTCCGTGGGCAGGTGGTCGACCAAATGTTGGTCTGGTCAACAGCAGGGTTGCCTGCCCACATTCAGCACCAAGCAATCTTTGGGCCGGGTACGGTACGAGCACTTCCCAGCCTTCTGCACCTGATGCGCACAGTCTTGGCCACACCAGCGCCCGCAAAGTGTGTCCTATCAAGGGGGTGATGTGAATCGAGATCCCTAGCCATGAGAAAATGAGCAACCTGATATTGAAAAAAAAGAACATTCCCACAATGCAAGAGAAGCGAGCCTGTAGTGATGCGGTCCTATCTCGCCTGAGACTTAAGTGACACAACTTCAGGACCAATCAAAGGCCACCAGCTCTAAGAAGTCCACACGCGACTGCAAGCAGCCGGTTGCCTGGTACCGTTGAAATTCATTACAGTACGTCTCATGAGAAGGCCAGAGATATCAAATAGCAAGATAGGCGGTCTAGTGGTCTACCCAGTTTGCACAGCCTGATGACAGGCTCTGCTTGGACCGTCGTGTCAGTGGGCCTTATATTATGCACAAAAAGCTTGTCTGCTGCCCAGTCAACTGTGCACCTGAGGTCCCAAGCGCAAGTTTTGCTTTCCGAGCCAGGCTTACCGATGACGGTCTTGCTAGATTGGCCGACGGTTTTGGCAAAGCCAAATCGCGCCCATCCTGTGGTCAGCAAAAAGAAGTCTTGACTTTTTATCCAGTGTCTTGCATGGTTCTCGCTACGGAAGTGGTTTGTTTTCCAAAGTTCCATCTGTCCTGAGTGGTTCCACAACGGAAGAAACCGCAAGCTTGAATGCAGGGTTCCTGCACTGCACGGCAGTCGAAATATGCCTATCTCAATCTCACATCGTTCGAGCTCATTTTTGCCCGGGGGAGTGAGAGGTAGAGCTACTAGCTCTACTAGCTACTAGGACGTTACTAGTACAGTAACTTCACGCAGGATAGCTCTCGCTGTTAATTTGGTTCCTATATAGATGTTTAGGGAAACTAGAATGCTGCCCACACGAAGGCCAACTAACGCGAGGCCGCAGTGACCCATACTCCAGCCTCCTGCTCTGGCCTTAAGGGAAAAAAGGGTCTTAGGAGTCTGACGCTCTGTCAAGCAGAGCACTGAAATATTTAGGACGCATTCATCATGTTTTACTTATCGATATGTCTTGTATGTGTGTATATATATAATCTATGCACCATTATACATCCCACCGTGCGTAGCAAAGACTGAAGAGACTTGCAACGCTGCTTCTTCACGAGGGCTTCGGAGGGGTAGGAGCACGTTAGGCTCTGGATTTGAACAGACGTAGTGTCCTGCAAATAGGCCGCGGCCAAGTGTTTTCTAGAGCCAGAAATCTTTCCCCCAGGATGCAGTTCCCTGGGTCCATCACGTTCAGCCAGCATTCGGGGAAAAAAGGCAAACTGTAGCATGGCAGTTTTCAGGAACGCAATGTGGACCTGTAAAGGCTCAAACAGCATCAGCCACTCGACAAAGGCCAATAACAGCCGTCAGGCATAAGCTTGGTCAGTATCAAGGGTCAGCTTCTGGTAAGCTGCAACTGAATTCCAAAGGAAAAACAAGAAGGCAAGGGCAGAACTGCAAGTGAAGCCGACGCCAATCCGCAGCAAGGACAACCCCAAAATGGACAGGGACAACTCGGAAAAATACTTGAGAGGCGGGGAACGAAAGCGCTGACGACGACACGACGATCGTGAAAACACCTTAAAAATAATCCTCTGAGATTATGTTTGTGATGTCGTGTCCCTTGGGGGGCCCCCCTTAATCAATACCGCTTCAATTCGTTAAGGGTGGGGGGAGGGGAGGATCTATTGATTCACTTCACACGAAGTGGGGGGGGTGGGGGGGGGCCGTTTGTAGTGATTTTTCAATTGATCCCTTCGATTTTGACCCATCTAATCGTAAACTAGAACTTCAGCTGACCTCCTTCGGAGATCGCTTTCGTGATAAAGGTTGTGAAATTGATTGAAATTGTTTGCATGTTGGATCCCTGAGTCAATTGGGCTTCGAGCCACTCTCGGTCCAACAGTTCGGTTGGAAGGCTGCAGGGAACTGCTGGCCTTGTCAAAAATGAACGTCAAATAATCGAATGAACGCACTTGACATGGATGTGGCTCAAACAAATGACTTTTCAGACAGAGACACCTCTCCCGTCTCTCTCTCTCTCTCTTTCTCCCTCCCTCCCTCCCTCCCTCCCTCCATCTTTCGGAGCAATGAAGCAAATAATCAACAACTCTAGGAGCACCGAACTGCTCCATAGGTCCCAGCTCCTCAAACAGAAAGGATTTTCACACATTCTACTGACACCTTCTATGCCTTGTCCTCTCTCCTGCAGCGTGAGTAGCTTCGGCAAGTTGCCATCTTTATCCGGCTGCAGCAGCTGCCAGAAGCCCTGAAGCAAGTATGATCTTGTGATGCAGGGAAACAAGAACTACTTCAGTACTACGGCTCCTTTTGACCAAGACAAATGGAAGAGAACCTCAAGTCATGCCTGTCAATCCGCCCAGCTGGCATGATGGTAAAACTTAGCCTGTAACTGATACGGTGCACGAAACGACGTAAGGCCTGGAAGACTGACCTTGGCCGATGCGAGATACAAGCGGTTGAATCTAACCAACCACTAAGGGTGGGCGGTGCCTTCCTGTAGTGCTGTGGTGCCTACCATTGAGGCTGATAGTTGCTCTGCATGTCTCCAATCCAGGTAATTCACCAGGCGCCCGGCATATTTGCCAGGAGCCAACGCCTTGCGGTGAGAGTTCCCAAAAGATATTTTGCATTTATGACCTAAAGCTTAAAGCTTCCAGCAAACTACTTGCCAAAAGAATCTTCAAGCCATACCCCTTCCACTCGGAAAGAAGAACATTGGGAATAAGTAAAAACAAAGCAACAAAGCCCAAGGAATGAATAATTAAACATGAACAAACCTGTCAGCCAAAAGCCATACACGAGGCGTAACAAATTCATGGCTTCAAACTTCACCAGCCTACGCCTTCAGCTCCGACCCCAGGGGCCTCGCAGAACTCAAGTGCAAAGCGAATAAAAAAACTGTGAAAGCGATGGAAAGAACTGTCTGAGTCTTTCGAACGTGCCTTGCCTCCACCATGAAAGCGACATTGAATCAACACTTGATAGCAAATTGTGGGATGAAAGCATGCAGTGCTTGGGTGTGTTTTCGGCAAATCCTCTAACCAATCAAGTAAAACTCTGTGAAGTGTGGTCGTCTAGTGCTGGCGTTGCTGTCAGCAGATTTATGTTTCTGCTGTTGAGAATCTGCTGCATCTGATCTTGCCTGTATCCACTTCATGTAGCAGAAAGCTGAAGATGAGATAGCTGCAAAATAAGAAACGTCTTGAGTAAAAAAACATTGCCAAGTCAGTTTCCGCTCAGTGTCTTTGAAATTAGCCCAGCTGGAGACCCCAATAGCAAGATACAAACCGGGACAAAAAAAAAATCTGGAAACAACTGTTTTTTTCAACACATCGACCATCTCTTCCTTGGACACCATCATCACATAACCGGGACACCATCACAAAATGACCAGGGCACCATCAAAACATGACCGAGACACCGTCACAACATGATTGGGACACCATCACAACATAACCGGGACACCATCACAAGGTGACCGGGACACCAGCATGACATGACGGGGACACCATCACAACATGACCGGGACACTATCACAACA